TTACGACCGCGGCCGGTGTTGTTATTGTTGTTGTCATTGATAGTGTCGTTGCTCGTCATGGATGATCAAGCGTCGCAAATKCCAAAGGCGCCGACATACAATGAGCTTGTTGCTCTCGTTGAAGAATTACGGAAACGAGTCACTGRAGCGACTGTGACGAGTGACGTGAACGCTAAGATTATCGATATGAGTGTATCTGATGACAGATCATTATCGGAAACGAGCTCGCGTCGACCCGCTTTAGACTTTCGTGTGTTACCGGACCTAGATAAAACCGTCGGTGTGTTTAGTGGTCGGGAAACGACTCATGTTGCAGCYGATTGGCTGACATYGGTYGAGGGCGTCGCGAACCTGAATTGTTGGCCTTTTGCGTATCGGCTCCAGTTCGTGCGCGCGAACGTTCAAGGTGCGGCAAAAGATTGGTTTGTAGGTCGTACGTTCGGAGACTGGCAAGATTTCAAAACACAATTCCATGCGACGTTCATTCGTGCCGTGCGCATGTYGGATAGGTGGGAAGCCTTRCGCAGACGGTACCAAGCGAAGGACGAGCATTTGATGGATTATTTCCAGTCGAAAGTAAGACTTTGTCGAKATCYCTCGTTGCCGTACGATGAAGTGCGCGATCATGTTATTCAAGGATTATATTCCCGTGACCTGGCGATGTATGCACTAGGCAAGGTGCATATGGACGAAAATGACCTTTTGGCAGACATTCTGGACTGGGAGAGGAYGGATTCACTGCRAAGATCCAGTGCAAAGGCGGAACGCCCGACTAAGGCGAAAGACACGATCAAGTATAATACAGGCCCGCGGAACCAGTCCTCGAGCGATACYCAAAGTGATAMGAAGACATGGAGGCGTGCAGTACCTATCGAACAGAAAACGAATTTTGAGACTTCCGGACAGCAAGATAAAACGAGTGATTACATCGAACGTGGCAGCTGTTTCAACTGCCACAAGGTTGGTCATCTTTCYCGYGATTGCCCTACGAGGCGTAAACCAATGACGTGTTACAACTGTGGTGTCGTTGGGCATATGAGAAACAACTGCCCGAACTTACAACAAGCTAACGCTGTCGTTGAACAAAAMAGTGTCGAAGGGCACCACCCGTATCAAAAGATTGGAGTCGTGAACGGGCACGAATTCATTGTACTGTTGGATACCGGGAGTCATTTTACGTTGCTTAAATCGACAGTCGCAATCAAATGTGGACTGAACGTTCATCCGTCGGCAAAACCGCTATACGGTGTAGGAAGTACCGTGGTACCAGCWCTCGAGACTGTCGGTGAAGCACTAACCGAGATCGTCGTTGATGGTGTCAACGCCGGATCTGTAGTGGCTCTGGTTGTGCCGGATGACGTACAAAGGCCGGACATTATCGTGGGAAGGAATTGGTTGGACTCGCCCGCRGTAGCATACCATAAGGCTGGAGGACAGCTGGTACTCACAGAGGCGAATGTCGTGAACAAACTGTCGGACACTACAGTCATGACGCTTGACAGTGAGTTTGACTGTCTGCATGTGGTCAGTGCAGAGACCGAAGTTGTGCGTGCGACACTAAGTCTGGACGAGTTCAAATATGTGGATGAAGACGYAAAGGCCGATGAAAGGGCGAAGYTGCAAGAGTTAGTGGACGAATATCGGGATTGTTTTGCTGCTGGGTTGGAAGAACTCGGGTGTACTTCGTTGGTCAAGATGGATATTGTAGAAGTGCCTGGGAGCAAGCCAGTAGTATGCAGACCGTACAAGACGACCGCAACCGATAGGGCTGAGATAGACAAGATCGTTAGTGACTGGAAGCGGTGTGGGTTAGTGACAAAGACGAGGTCTCCCTACTCCAGTCCCGTAATTCTTGTGAACAAGGTACCGGAAAACATAGACTTTGCGTTGATTACAGGCGCTTAAACAAACAAACGCTACGTCAGCACTTTCCGTTACCTGACATGAACGAGCAACTGCAGTCGTTAGGAAAGAGCAAACTATTTGCTCAACTCGATCTAGCAAGTGGTTATCTACAGATACCGATGACAGAAGACGCGTCTGCGAAAACAGCGTTCATAACGGAAGATACTACCGGACAATTTGTCCGTATGCCGTTTGGACTATCGGGAGYTGTTGCCGAGTTCACTCGCTTAATGCGCCATGTGTTGGGGCCATTACATGGTAAGACCGTTCGGAACTATCTGGACGWTATGGTCGTAGACGCCGACGATTGGTCGGACATGTTGCATAAATTGCGTATGGTGTTYGATCGTTTGAGGGACGCGTGYCTGACGCTTAAACCGTCGAAGTGCGTTTTCGGCGCGAGGAAGATCGAATTTTTGGGATTTGTAATTGGCAGTGGTCGAATACAACCAGGTGAGTTGAAGACGCGAGCAATTTCGGATTTCCCTACTCCGGTGGATGTGTTGTCGCTGAAATGTTTCTTGGGACTTACCGGGTTCTTCCGAAGATTCGTGGAAGGTTATGCTATCATAGCGGAACCGCTTACACGGCTGACAAGGAAGAACGTGGACTTTTCGTGGCGAGAAGAACAGGTTAACGCGTTCCAAAGGTTAAGGGACGTATTGACACGGCCGCCGATACTCGGAATATTCGACCAGACGGCCGGTGTCACTGAATTGCATACCGAC